GGGATTATTTTTCATAGCTCCCCCAAAATCAGTTTCTTTGGAAGGGAGACAGTGGAAACTTGAAATTCAACTTAATCAACAAGAAATTCTGTGGCACTTAATAGACTAACGGATTTCTTGGAGCATGAGCTTTCATGGGCAAAGCCCTCCCCCCACCCCGCCGTGCATCTGACGAAGTGGGTCTTTGCTCAGGAAAGCTGGTGCTCCACTGAGTCTGTTAGTCTGTAAGCTGCCACAGGACTTCTCATTGTTTATGTAGATTCAGAATAACATGGCTAACCCTCTGATACTTGAAATTCAGCTGTTTGTTGCGCTGAGCAGAAATGCTCTGTGTAACTCAAAACATCTAAAATTTTATAAAGTGTCAGCTACTGGGGGGATTAACCGAATACAATATAATTGTGTTAAGACAGGGATGGGCAATAATTTTTGCCTGGGGCCATGCCATGATTTTGGAAACTTGGCAAGTGCTACACATTTCTGTGGTGGAGGTGTAGGGTCTAGGATGGAGGCTGAGTGCAAAAGGGTGCATGGGTTAAAGGATTAGGGGGTACAGAACAGGGTGTGAGGTCTGTGAGGGAGTTTGGGTGGAGGAGGGGGTCGTGACCTACGTCGGTACTTAGCTGTAGGGTCAGGGAGCGTGTCTGGGTGCAGAAGACGATTCTGGCTTGGGGTAGGGTTGTGGAGGAGGTACAGGATCTGGGAGGGAGATGTGATCTGGGGCAGAGAGTTTGGATGGTGACCAGGGGAGAGAGTTGAGGTGCTGGAGTGCCAGAGACAGGTTTTGACTGGGAGCTGCTTATCTAAGCATGTCTCGGCCAGTAACCATGCAGCACCCCCAAAGCAGGCTGGGCTCCCTGCCTACTGCAGCCCCAGACAGCTTGAAAATGCAGGCTGCTCTCTCCATGTGACTCTCAACTTCAGAAGGAGGAAGAGGCTTGTGCCACTCCTCCTCCCCCCAATCTCCCAGGCCAATCTTCCAGCTCCTTTACTGGTTGGTTATTTCATGCCAATAGGAGCTGAGAGATTGGCTGGGTCAGTTCCTATTAGCCAGATGTTTCCAACCATAGGAGCTGAGGATTGGGCTTGGGGCAGGAGATCATATGAAGCCTCCCCTTCCCTCTAGAGCTGTGGTCACCAACAGGTCGATCGTCCCGGATAGACGGAAGTCCCGCAGCTTAGCACTACTTCCGGCGATTCCGGAAGTAGCGCTAAGCTGCCCTGCTGGGTGCACTGCGGGAGGGAGCATCGACTCCCTGCACCACACAGGAGGAGTGAGTCAGCCCCAGGGCAGGCACGCGCGCGCGGGGTTTTCTTGCACCGAGGGGTTGGCCCCGGGGCAGGCATGCACTGGTTTCCCTCTGGGGGGGTGGGAATCCTGGGAGGAGACAGATACAGGGGACTTTCTGCCTCCACTGGCACCCCACTCCCCAGCCCTCACTCCCCAGCCACAGAACTCTGTCCCCACTCCCCGAACGCTGTCCCCACTCCCCTGTCCCTAGCCACAGAACTCTGTCCCCACACCCCTGTCCCCAGCCACAGAACTCTGTCCCCACTCCCCGAACCCTGTCCCTACTCCCCTGTCCCCAGCCACAGAACCCTGTCCCTACTCCCCTGTCCCCAGTTACAGAACGCTGTCCCTATTCTTGTCCCCAGCTGCAGAAACCTGTCCCCACTGGCATTCTGTCCCCTGCTGCAGAACCCTGTCCTCTGCCCCCCTAGCACCCTGTTCCCTCTTCCCTGCCCCCTGCCACAGAACTCTGTCCCCATAAAATGTATAATTATTAATGTTTCATTTTATATTTAAATAGCATGAACAAAAAACAGACCATTTCATAACTATAAACGCATGATTTTAATTTTATATATTGCATAATTTAAAAATAAACTGTTTATCAGAGTGTGTAAGTAAGGGGTGGGGATAGCAAGTGATGGACAGGAGGAGAATAGAGAGGGCGGGGCAGTAGATCTTCACCTGTTGGGAGATTTAAAAAGTGATCTTGGGTGTAAAAAGGTTGGAGAGCACTGCTCTAGAGCAGAGGCACATAGAGAATCCCTGTGTTTAAAACAGTGGCAGCTGTGTGCCTGAGGGCCCTGGCAGTGTGGCCAGTGGCCTGGCAGGCTGGATCTAGCCTGAGACACACATTTTGCCTACTCCTGTGTTAAGATTAATGAAATGTTAAAAAAATCATTTCTATTTTTATATTGTGCAGTTCGAATGGCAAGTAAATAAAGGTAATTTTTCATTGTAGACATCTCATTTTTTTTCTCTATATTGAATGTAGCGGCGGGCACTCATCTTGGGCTGGCCCTAATGAAAGATGAAGCTTCGGACTGACATACTGTCATTGCAAAAGAGGTGCAAAATGCTAGCTATATGATTTGCTCATCCAAAACTTAACTACGAGTACCAGAGGTGAGACGGTAGTGCTCTGCTTGACCATAATTGGCCTCTACTACTTTGTGGATTTGCCTTGCACATCAGCATTCACTTTAACAAAGGGAAAATAAATCAGTCTAAAAGGCTAAATATGTTAATTGCACAGCTAGCAGTCTCCAGTTAGGGCATTTTAGAATTAGAATGGCAGGAGTATTGCAACTTATGATTCTGGTGTATTGGCCTTTTCATGTCTGGAAGGAAAAAATTAACTGATCCACTAGAGGGCATTCAACGCTGATTTATGGAGTTTGAAGTGATCAGATACCTGGAAAAAGGGAAGCCTGTCTGGTAACAAAAAAGGACTGTATTGGACAACTGTGTTCAGGGCTGGACCTTTCCATACTGTTTTTAGTCTCTAGTGTTTGTATTTGTGGTGTGCTTGCTGCTTGCCTGAAATATAGTAGGAGGCTACGTCTAGACTGGCATGATTTTCCGCAAATGCTTTTAATGGAACGGTTTTCCGTTAAAAGCATTTGCGGAAAAGAGCGTCTAGATTGGCACGGATGCTTTTCCGGAAAATGTAGACGCTTTTTTGCGCAAAAAAGCCCCGATCGTCATTTTTGCGATCTGGGCTTTTTTGCGCAAAACAAATCTGAGCTGTCTACACTGGCCCTTTTGCCCGAACGGGAGCAGCATAGTCTTTCCGCAAGAAGCACTGATTTCAGACAGTAGGAAGTCAGTGTTCTTGCGGAAATTTAAGCGGCCAGTGTAGACAGCTGGCAAGTTTTTCCGCAAAAGCAGCTGCTTTTGCAGAAAAACTTTCCAGTCTAGACACAGCCAGAGAGTTTGACGAGGGAGACCATTTACGGGCTTTGGTGATCACAGTGCCTGAATTGGAGGAGCTAAGTAAGAGTGACAGAGAGGTATACTGATGAGACTTTCTGGATCCATATAGGAGTGGTGCAGCAGGGGCAGGTGTGCCACCTGTCTGGCTCCACCCATAGTCGGTCCCCAGAATGCCTGTTGTACGCATACTGGGGGTGGAGTGTTGCTGCCCCCCAAGTGCCTGCCCTTCCTGTGCTCCAGGGCAAGGGCTGCATGGCACCTTATTTACCCCCCCCCACACACACACCTGGGTGTTGTGCCAGAGGAGGGTGGAGCTGTGCACCCCTCCTCTTCTCCCTGGTGTGGAGGGGGGGGGCTTGCCTCCCCCAGTCCTACCTTCTGCCACTACCCAAGGACTCACCCTTGATCTGATAGTCTCTGTGCTGTTGAAGAGGATGTTGTCCTTTCCTGAGAATTTCATCCAAGTGGAGCAGAGACACATGATCCCATAGTTGGGACCCTTTCAGATGACGTTTTATTCTCTGTCACTGGGGATACCGCTTCAGGAGAAGCGGGAACTCTAGTTATTCGGAAGAAACAAGTAATAGTTATATGGAATTCAGTCATTAGAAACATAGACTTTGTGATGACTGGGAGAGCTGTGTGGTGACTTGCCTGTTTGGTACAAAGGTTGCAGATGTCTGGAGACATGTAAGACTTGCATGCAATGCTGGGGAGAAGCCAGTGGTCATGATACGAGTAGATATCAATGACATACGATATGATAGGGGAGAGATCCTGGAGGCCAAGTTTAGATTGCTAGATAAGAGATTGAAGTACTATACCTCCATGTATCAGGGGTAGCTGTGTTAGTCTGGATCTGCAAAAGCAACAGAGTCCTGTAGCACCTTATAGATTAACAGATGTATTGGACCATAAGCTTTTGTGGGCAAAGACCCAATTCGTCAGATGCATGTCTGAAGGTCTTTGTCCCCGAAAGCTTATGCTCCAATACATCTGTTAGTCTATATGGTGCCACAGGACTCTGTGTCGTTTGTACCTCCATGGTAGCATTTTCTGAGATGCTTCCAGTGCCCTGTGCAGGGCTAGTTAGGCCGAGCTGCACAGCGTGTTGATGAGATAATAGTGTATAGAGGAGAGGTTTAGATTTATTAAGATCTGGGGAAACTTTGGGGGAATTGGAAGACTATATACAGGAAGAATGGGTTCCACATAAACCAAAATAAAACCAGATTGCTGGCACTTAATTTAAAAACTGCTCTTTGGCCTTTTTAATGTTAAGGGCCTGGGGAAGGACAGCAGATGTGGACAAGCACATGGTTTGGACAGTAACATCCCTTAAGGGAGGATCTATTGATGATCCTATGTGTCCTAGTAAGGAGAAGATAGAAAATGATGAAATATAGGTAGGATCTGATTAGAAACAGTAAAATAAAAGTCAGATTTAATTGCATCTGGGAATGACAGACAGCTAAAAAGTGACAATTTTAAAGTGCTTATATACCAGTGGTACAAGTCAAATAATAAGATGGGTGGTCTAGAATGCTTCCTGTGAAATGAAGATAGTGATTTAATAGGTATCACAAACCCTGGTGGAATGAAGATATTCAATGGGATACAGTAATAATACTAGGATACAAAATCTATCAGAACAGAGCAAGTCATGCTAGTGGAGAATGGCATTATATGTGAAAGAAAGCATAACATCAATTGAGAGAAAAATCTTAACCAAATTGTACCATTAAATCTCTCTAGCTAGAAATTCTATGCTGTAATAATAAGAATTATAGCAGTATGGATATATTACTGACCACTTGATCAGGATGATTATAGTGATTGTGAAATGCTAAGAGATTAGAGAAGCAATACACATTTTTAAAAAACTCAATAGTAATGGGGGATTTCAGCTGTCCTCATATTGACTGGGTATACTGTCTCCTCAGGACAGGATGCAGAGATAAAGTTTCTTGACACCTTAAATGATTGCTTCTTGGAGCAACTAGACCTGAAATGCACAAGAGGAGAGGCAATTGTTGATTTATTCCTAACTGGAGCATGGGATCTTATCCAAGAGGCGAATATAGCTGGATTGCTTGGTAATAATGACTATAATATAACAAAATTGAATATCCCTATGGTGGGGAAAACATTACAGCAGCCCAACACTGTAGGTTTTTACTTCTTTTTGAAATTAACAAAATTGAGATGAAACAGAAATTAAAAGGTATAGTGCCAAAAGAGAAATCTCTGCATGGTGCACAGAAACTTTTTAAGGACATTATAATAAATGCTCCACTTAAATGTATACCATTCCCCTCCCAATTGAAAGAATAAATAAATAAGAGAATCAAAAAGTGCTGCCATGGCTTACCAACAAAATAAAAGTGGTGAAAGGCAAAAAGTCATCCTTTAAAAAGTGGAAGTTAACCAAAAGAGGAATATAGAAAGGAGCATAAACTCTAGGAAATGAAGTGTAAAAATATAATTAGGGAGGCTAAAAAGTAATTTGAAGAACAGCTGGCCAAAGACTCAGAGTAATAACAAATACATTTTTAAATACAGGCAGTACCCGGGTTACGTACAAGATAGGGACTGTAGATTTGTTCTTAAGTTGAATCTGTATGTAAGTCGGAACTGGCATCCAGATTCAGCCGCTGCTGAAACTGATCAGTTTCAACAGTGGCTGAATCTGGACATCAGTTCCGACTTACAAACAGATTCAACTTAAGAACCCCAGGCGTCCCCAAGTCAGCTGCTGCTGAAACTGATCAGCAGCTGATTCCAGGAAGCCCGGGGCAGAGCAACTC